CATGCCGAGGGGTACCCACTAACGAAGGCGCAGAAAAATGCGAAGGGTTTTGTGTCTATCATGGTGAACGACTATATCGCGAGGTGGGGTTGTCCGCACACCATGTTGTCAGATAGGGGAGCAGAGTTTGCGAATGAGATAGCGAAAAGGGTGTTTAAGATGCTGGGAACTGTGAAGAAGTTTACTAGCTCATATCATCCGCAGACGAATGGGATGGTGGAACGTTTAAATCACACGCTGTGTCAAATGTTGTCGCACTTGATTGCGGACGATCAGGCGANCACACCATGTTGTCAGATAGGGGAGCAGAGTTTTCGAATGAGGTAGCGAAAGGGGTGTATAAGATGCTGGGAACTGTGAAGAAGTTTACTAGCTCATATCATCCGCAGACGAATGGGATGGTGGAACGTTTAAATCACACGCTGTGTCAAATGTTGTCGCACTTGATTGCGGACGATCAGGCGAATTGGGATGAGATGTTACCACACGCGGTAGCGGCACACGACAATAACGTGAGCCGAGGGACGCGGCTAGCACCCAACGTAGTACACATCGGGAGGTACCCGAGGTTGCCGATGACGATCTTGGAGGGAAGGGGTGTTTCGGGAAATCAGGGCCTAAAGCAAGACCAATTGGATTATTTGAATTTGATGAGGGNGTTGTACACATTGGAAGGTACCCGAGGTTGCCGATGACGATCTTGGAGGGAAGGGGTGTTTCGGGAAATCAGGGCCTAAAGCAAGACCAATTGGATTATTTGAATTTGATGAGGGACAAGCAAAGAAAGGCGTACGAGCTGGTAAGAGAGCAGGATAAGATAACCAAGGCTAAGCATGAGAAGAGCAATCAGGTGTTGAACTCGATAATAGGCAAGAGGCCGAAGTACAAAGAGGGGGACTGGGTCTTCTTGGTGTATGATGAGAAGAGTACAATTTCTGGTGGGGGGGAACATGTGCTTAAATCGCGAGTGAACAGTAGCGGGAAAGAAAAATCGTTCGCGTTGATCCCGAAGTTGGCACATAATTGGACCGGGCCGTATAAGGTGTTGATCGTGGGTCCAGGGGATGGTCTTGACGGAGAAAAGGTGGGCCCGAATATTTTGTTTTTGGACGTGAATAAGGATGAGCCCGGAAAGAACATTAACGAGAGGGTGTCGGTATATCGGTGTAAGAACTGCTATACTCAGCACGAAAACGAGGATAGACCTAGCTAGGTTCTTGCCGTGGGGCTTTAGCAAGTATGTGTTGAATAAGTTTTCAGAGTTAGCGCCTCCGTTCCACCTTACGGCAGAGGACGTGGAGGAAGAATTGGATAGTAAAGAATTGGTCCCGTGTAAAATATCAAGGCACAGAATTTGGCGAGGTATCAGTGGGAAGGGGGCGGTTCAGCACTACACGCCTTGGACGGGGTTGGCTAAGTGTACGTGGGAGCATGAAGTAGAGCTAGAGNACTGCTATACTCAGCACGAAAACGAGGATAGACCTAGCTAGGTTCTTGCCGTGGGGCTTTAGCAAGTATGTGTTGAATAAGTTTTCAGAGTTAGCGCCTCCGTTCCACCTTACGGCAGAGGACGTGGAGGAAGAATTGGATAGTAAAGAATTGGTCCCGTGTAAAATATCAAGGCACAGAATTTGGCGAGGTATCAGTGGGAAGGGGGCGGTTCAGCACTACACGCCTTGGACGGGGTTGGCTAAGTGTACGTGGGAGCATGAAGTAGAGCTAGAGCAATATGGGGACGTGATACTTAAATATTGGAATGAGCAGCCGGAACAGTCGGCCGGAGGGAACATTAGGTATCGGAGGTACCGTATTCAGGGTGCAAAGAGGACGATTCACTGCTAGCAGGAAGGGAGAAAGACACGTGCAGAAAGATTACAAACTCTGTTGTGACATACGGGGTAGACCGAGTCTTCGAAGTAAGGCGATGATTGGTGCCTATTTATATTTTAAGACTGTGAGGGCGGGGTGGCAGTTTGCGAAGGTGATGCAGGTGACTCCGGATCCGAGGTGGGAAGAAGGCATCAAGCATACTATCAAGCTGGTGGACATCGGCAAAAACATCAATGTGGCGCTTCTGAACAAGAATCTGCCGACGGACAACCTGGTACAAGATCCAGGAACGTGGTGCTGGCATGCACACCGAACGGTGAAAAGTGTCCAGAAGTACATGTTTGAGTTAAAAGATGACTAGGTGTTTGAATTTGAAGTGCGTAGGACTGCGGAAAAGTGTGCCAAGTGGTGCAGTCGAATACGGGTCAAACAAATTTATGTTGTGCTGAGCGATTCCTGTTTTGGCTAAATAATGTACCTGGTGATGGAGTCATATTGCATTGGTGCCACGGTCTTGGCGGAATTGGAGAATGTGTGTATTGCATCATCAGTTGAATTCTGGTGATTAATGTTCGGACTTGCTGCAAGAAAATG